CTGTCAGAGGAAGCTTCAGAATCCTTGCCTCCAAGGAGCAGCCTGGTTGAACCCTCTCCAGGGTGAACCTGTTCATTTTCTTAGCAGTCCACGGTCCACTCAATATTCTTCTCCAGCACCACAGCTCAAAGCTATTAACATCTCTATATCATCACCTGTGAAATGGGAGTGCTGATGATCCTAAGTGTCTGTTGGGGCTTCTTGGAGGGTTAACTAAGTTAATGTGTTAAGCAAGCTAACCTTGATCAAGGGCTGTTCTATTCCAAGGGCCTTCCTATGCTTCTGTTGACGAAATCCTCTCTGGCTAAGCTGCATGTGCTGGCATAATGATGTCAACTAATGCACTCTCCTCACTCTGATGGATCTCTCACCAAGCACCCAGCCCCCTTCCCGTGTGGGTTTGCTTTTGCAGGAAAACATGTGGTAATTGTAGACATGCTGAGAATTTCCCACCCCAGAGCCTGCAATTTCTTGTAGCAAATCAATAAATTCCCTCTAGTCATGCCGGGGCCTCCCACTTTGCTTGACCACAGGGACAGGATGCAGGGATGGTGCTGACCAAAGGTTTCTGGGCCAGGCTCAGTTCTCTGTGGAATTCTAGAGCATCACACCAGCATTCTGGCGCCTGCCTGCCTCTGTCTTCAAGTACTGTGGTCACAAGACAGACAGTAAGGCCCTGATTCCTGAACACGGATGTGTGTGAGTCCTAGTTGTCTATAGCACACAGCCCAAGCTGCCTCTCCCTCCCAACAGTGGTACCTCTTACATTTGTCCCCTGCTGATCCTGCCCATGGACGGCTCTAGAGTCCCTGGGGCTGCTTTTCCTGCCTGAGTGTCTTTGCATGAAAGAATAAAGAGTTTTGGAAAATTAGTAAGTTAAAATATTCACCAGAAGATGAATTGATGTCTTTGAATTGTGATGTTGGAGAAGAATACAGAATATATCGTTTTTGTGTAGCAGCATCAAGTCAGAACTGACCCACAGCTGCCCCTCCAGCGCGTTTTTAGAGGCATAGTTAATCTCACATGAGGATACTGCCAGTCCTTCTCTTCCAGAACAGCTGGTTGATTCGAACCATGCGCCTTCAGGATTGCAGTGCAGCTTCTTATTACTAGGTCAGCAGAGCTCACAGAATATTTTATGAACTGCCAAAACCATAAGCCAGTTTGTCTGGAGGAAGTGCAATCAGAGTGCCCCTAAGAGGCAAAAATGATGAAACTTTGTCTACATATTTTGAGCATGTTGTCAGGTGGGAGCTGGACCTTGGAAACAGATATCATGCTGGGAAGTGTGGAGGTCAGCAAACGAGAGGAAGAGCCTCATTGAGATGGATCGGCACAGTGATTGCAATAATGGGCCAGAGCACGGGCAGGGCAAGGTGCAGACCTGTTATTCACAGGTTCAATACAAGTCACAGTCACCCAGATAGCTACTAACACAAGTGGAAACCATCACCCAAGCGTTCCTCTTGGGTTGGCCTGTAGTGCTTCTCCCACCTCACAGGAGAAAGGGGCTAAATATTTTCATTTTATCCTGACTCTACCTGAAATTCCACTGTATAGCAATTCATTTTCATATTAAACACCCTTGACAAAAAGTATAATCCTTGGGAGAGCGGGCAATTAATTTTAAATTTTTTTTTAAATTTGCTCGCCACATCCTGTTCGACATTTATTAATAGCTGCCCTATTAAACTTTGCCACTGTTACTGGAGTGAGATGATACCTCATTTTGGTTTTGATTTGCATCTCTCTTATTTTCAATGGTTTGAAGCATTTCTTCAAGTGTCTGTTTGCCATTCAAAATATCTTCCTCTTTGAAAATTCTTTCCATTTCTTTTGCCCATTTTGTAATTGGGTTATCAGTCTTTTTCTTGTGGAGGCCCAGGAGTAGTCTGTAAACTTTTGTTAAAAGACTCTTGTCTGAGATGGCATTACCAAATGATTGTTCCTAGTATGTAGGTTTTCTTTACACCCTGTTGGAAAAAGTTTTTGATGCACACATGAGAAAAGAATTCTTCTTTCTTATTATTAATATTTTTTTAATTTTTACATGTGTACCATCAAATCAGATCTGACTGGTACAGGTGGCGATTGTTCCTCCTTTTTCAGTAGAGTATCTGGTGGATTTGAACCGTTCACCTCTGGGATTGCAGTGCAGCTTCTTGCCACTAGGCCACAAGAGCTCGAGAAACAAACTCTCATACATTGTTGTTGGAATTGTAAAATGGTAAAACCATTCTGGATGGCAGTTTGGTGCTTCCTCAAAAAGCTGAACATAGAAATTCCATATGACTCAGCTATTCCACTACTTGGAAGATACCCTGAGAAAACGAAAACTGACGCACAAATGGAAGTACACCAATGTTCATAGCAGCATTATTCATCATCACAAGAACATGGAAACAGCCCAAATGTCCAGCCACAAATGAATGGATCAAGAAATTATGGTACATTCAGACAATGGAATACTATGCAGCATGCAGGAGCAACAACTTTGTAAATTATTACCTAACGTGGGAGGCCCTGGAGAGCACTATGCTGAGTGAACTAACTCAGTCCTACAAGGATAAATATTGTATAAAACCATTATTGTAGAATGAGTATAAGGATCCAAGAAGAGTGGGAGAGGTTGGAAGCAGAGGGATGAGAATGTGCAGGGG